GTGTGTGTGTGTGTGAGTGTGTGTGAGTGTGTGTGAGAGTGTGTGCTCGGACCTCAAATCTCCCTCATTCTCTGAATAATCAATAATGCACAGTTTCCTCTGGATGACCTGCTGCAGAAAAACACACTGAAACGCAAATCTACTGCATCCTCCACTCCAGGAGCCAGATTCACAAAAATACTTTAAGCATGTATCTATTGCATCAGTGTCTCAGCAATGGATGCTCTGCAGTGAATTACTTGCACCACTGAAATATGTCCTGATAAAAACATCACAATAATCCACAAGTAATCCACAGCACTCCAGTCCATCAGTTAACATCTGGAGAAGATAAAAGCTGCAACAAATCCAGCATTAAGACGCTTTTAATTCAAATACATTGAGTCTATAATCCATAATAACTCTTCCTCCAGTGAAAAAGTGCATCTCCTGTTGTCTCTCACATCAAAATCCAGCCACATATTTGTTTAGAGCTGTTTAAACGCTGCTTGATCTGTGCAGATTTCTCTCCTGATTCAGACCAGAACACTTTTTCACTGGAGGAAGTATTATTATGGATTATGGACTCGTATTTTACTTAAAAACATCTTGATGATGGATTTGTTTCAGCTTTTGTCTTCTCCAGATGTTAACTGATGGACTGGAGTGCTGTGGATTACTTGTGGATTATTGTGATGTTTTTATCAGCTGTTTGGACTCTCATTCTGACGGCACCCATTCACTGCAGAGCATCCCTTGCTGAGACACTGATGCACTGCTACATTTCTCCAAATCTGATGAAGAAACAAACTCCTCTTCATCTGGGATGACAACAGACGCTTCAGTCATGCAGGGAAGGTGATTTTTACTGGAGTTTGTTTATGTTGAGATTGTGTGACTATCTGAGATGTGTTTGTCTGGCTTTATCTTTCATGAAGTAAAGGCAGAAGAGAAGCAGCTGGTATAAATCAACTGAACGACCCTAAAGGAGAATAAATAGCTGTAGTGTGCATGAATCACGGTTTCTTCCTTATAAAGTGTTTCTCTGTTCGCTCTTTCCTTTTACAGCCAGACGAGATTCGGACACAAACTCCATGCCGGGTTTATATGTGTGTCCTGTTTATAAACCCGGAAGCTTTTGTGACACGCGTGTGTGTCCTTGTTTCCCGCTGGAGTTTGTTCTTTCGGTCTTATTTTATGTAAGCGCTGGTATTGTTTCTTTACCGCAGCTGTGTGTGTTAATACAGGAACGAGAAAGATCTGAAACATCCCTGCTTTGCTCAGTTTCTCTGCTGTTCTTCTCTTCTTCCTTTCTTTCTTCAATCATCTTTTAATGATTTCATGTTTCGTCTGTTTTCTGCCTTCAAATTTAAATATCATCACAAGCACAATTCACGAAAAAAGCATTCAGAAGCCTTTTTACATATGCAATGTAATGCTTACATATTAGTCAGAATAAATGTAGTACAGGACTTAATTTTCTCCTTGATGAATAGAAAGAACAGTTAAAGGGATAGTTCACCCAAAGATTAAAATTACCCCATGATTTACGCCATCCTAGGTGTATATGACTTTCTTCTTTCAGACGAATAAAATCGGAGTTATATTAAAAAATATCCTGGTTCTTCCAAGCTTTATAATGGCAGTGAATGGGTGCTGAGATTTTGAAGCCCAAAAAACTGCGTCTATCCATCATGAAAAGTGTCCCACACGGCTCCTGTGGGTTAATAAAGGCCTCCTGAAGCGAATCGATGCGTTTCTGTAAGAAAAATATCCATATTTACAACTTTAAAAACCGTAATCTCTGATTGTCTGTTTTCTGACCCAGTGTTCATGATTATTTAAGCTGGAATTCCAGGTAATCTGTTTTTAATTGGAAGCAGAGGCTCTTGGACTCTTATGCTCCTCTCTGTTCCACTTTGGTTTCTGTCCTTGGCTGGTGTTTGTGAGTCCTGTTCGTCCTCGTCTGAGGTCCAGAGAGAGCAGCAGGTCAGGCTTGATTCACATGCGATCAGCGCGGCGGATGTTTACTCTGTGTCGGAGCGGAAGAAAGCCTGCGGGATGTTTGCTCTCAAATAAACCAACTCAAACAGAGATTAAACCCGCGACTCTCGCTGGATTCAGCAGAAGAAGCCGCTTCAGCTGTGTCTTATTATCCGTCGTGTGTGTGTGAGAGTGTGAGAGTGTGAGAGTGTGAGAGTGTGAGAGTGTGAGAGTGTGTGAGTGTGTGAGTGTGTGTGTGTGTGTGTGTGTGTGAGAGAGAGAGAGAGCTGGTGCTTGTGTTACAACGATTCCGTCATAATTTACTAATTTTTAGCTCTCAGTTATCCAGTCAGATCTATTTACACCATAAATTCAGCTGTTTTTGTCTGTTAATGCTGTGCTTTTCTGCATTTAGAGTCCAACCAGCCCAAATAGATGAAACTAGAGAAATACACTAGAAAGATCAAAAGAACAGCATTTATTTGAAATTGAAATCTTTTGTAGCATTATAAATGTCTTTACTGTCACTTTTGATCAATTTAATGCGTCCCTGATGAATAAAAGTCTTTAAGCATCAAAAACTCTTTTCAACATTGATAATAATCAGAAATGTTTGTTGAGCAGCAAATCAGCATATTAGAATGATTTCTGAAGATCATGTGACACTGAAGACTGGAGTAATGATGCTGAAAATACACAGGAATAAATTACAGTTTAACAGATATTCACATAAAACAGCTATTTTAAATTGTAATAATAATAATAATATAATATTTAATAAATTTTTACTGTATTTTTCTGTATTTTTAATCAAATAAACATAGTCTTGGTGAACAGAAGAGACTTCCTTCGAAAACATTGCAAATCTTAATTATTCCGAATTTTTTGACCATTAATATCTAAACGTTTCTGAATGTTGTCAGTGTTGATCTGTGATGGTCTGTTCATGTTGTGTGTTTCTGCAGGTCTTCACGCGCTGAGGAGGGTTTTAGGATCCAAGCCTGTTCTCTCTGATGTCCAGGTGATGAACAGTGTAAAGGTCATGACCTCTGACCTGAGACTGGCCATGACAGAGGTCAAACCCAGCGCGATGAGAGAGGTGGCCATCGACGTGCCAAAGGTACAGTGTTCATCTGAAGACTTTCACATGCTGTGGTTATCAGACTGACCTATCAACATTCAGGTTGACAGATGGATGGGCCAATCACAGCTCAAGCTTTAGATCCTGTAATGCAAATGAATCAAACCGTCTCACAAACAGCTCTGTGTGTGTGTTTGTAGGTTCGGTGGAGTGACATCGGTGGGATGGAGGAGGTGAAGCTGGCGCTGAAGCAGGCGGTCGAATGGCCCCTGCGGCACCCCGAGGCCTTCAGCAGGTTGGGTATAACGCCACCTAAAGGTGTCCTGCTGTACGGACCGCCGGGATGCTCCAAAACCATGATCGCTAAAGCGCTAGCCAATGAGAGCCAGCTCAACTTTCTGTCCATCAAGGTACATATCAGTTGTGTGAGAATGAGGTGTGAACGTGTGTGAACAATCAACAAGACAATGAAAAAATTAATAATGCAACAAAAAAGCATGAAAAATAAGAAAATTAAGAATATAAAAACTATGTGTTTTATATACACCATTTTAAATCTATCTTAATTTTGATGAACCAATACCGATTCTTGTTTTAGTCTATATATTTAGTGGATATGCGAACAAAGTCAAGTCACCTTTATTTGTATAGCGCTTTATACAATACTGGTTGTGTCAAAGCAGCTTTACAGAGTCTATAACAGGAAAATAGATATAATTCTTGCAATAATGCAAGAAGACAATAACAGAGTCATATTTCAGCTAAAGTCAGTTCATTGATGATTCAGTGATATCATCATCCATTTCAGCTCTCTTCCAATAGTGTCTGTGCACTATCTTTTGCAACTATGTTTATCAACTATGCATTCCGTTAGTTTTGCAAATTGTTATGTTTCATCAGGCCACGAAGAAATATAGAGCTGAGTATCATCAGCATAACAGTGAAAGCTAACACCATGTTTCTTGATGATATCTCCCAAGGCCGGGTAACATGTAAAGTATGAAAAGCAACGGTCCTAGTACTTAGCCTTGTGGTACTCCATACTGTACTTGTGATCGATATGATACCTCGTCATTCACTGCTACAAACTGATGATGGTCAGATAAGTAACAAAGCTTCACTAAACATTATTTGTAGCACCTGCCATCCAATAATCGCTATAAGCTTTGTGCTTTCTAACTTTGATAAGAATTAAAGTCTCAGCTATCAAATTCTGGCAATTTAAAACTATTATATAATAACATAATTCTGAGAAGAAGAAAACAAGAATAAAAAAGAGTTAGAATTGTGAGATAAAAAGTTGCAATTATTTTTTATTTCATGGCAGAAATTAAAAGAGAGAATTGCGCTATATTAACTCAGAATTGGGCGATATAAACTCAGAATTGCGTGATATAAACTCAGAGTTGCGTGATATAAACTCAGAATTGCGTGATATAAACTCAGAATTGCGTGATATTTCAGCTAAGTTGTGCGATACAAACTCAGAGTTGCGTGATATAAACTCAGAGTTGCGCGATATAAACTCAGAGTTGCGCGATATAAACTCAGAGTTGCGCGATATAAACTCAGAGTTGCGCGATATAAACTCAGAGTTGCGCGATATAAACTCAGAGTTGCGCGATATAAACTCAGAGTTGCGCGATATAAACTCAGAGTTGCGCGATATAAACTCAGAGTTGCGCGATATAAACTCAGAGTTGCGCGATATAAACTCAGAGTTGCGCGATATAAACTCAGAGTTGCGCGATATAAACTCAGAGTTGCGCGATATAAACTCAGAGTTGCGCGATATAAACTCAGAGTTGCGCGATATAAACTCAGAGTTGCGCGATATAAACTCAGAGTTGCGCGATATAAACTCAGAGTTGCGCGATATAAACTCAGAGTTGCGCGATATAAACTCAGAGTTGCGCGATATAAACTCAGAGTTGCGCGATATAAACTCAGAGTTGCGCGATATAAACTCAGAGTTGCGCGATATAAACTCAGAGTTGCGCGATATAAACTCAGAGTTGCGCGATATAAACTCAGAGTTGCGCGATATAAACTCAGAGTTGCGCGATATAAACTCAGAGTTGCGCGATATAAACTCAGAGTTGCGCGATATAAACTCAGAGTTGCGCGATATAAACTCAGAGTTGCGCGATATAAACTCAGAGTTGCGCGATATAAACTCAGAGTTGCGCGATATAAACTCAGAGTTGCGCGATATAAACTCAGAGTTGCGCGATATAAACTCAGAGTTGCGCGATATAAACTCAGAGTTGCGCGATATAAACTCAGAGTTGCGCGATATAAACTCAGAAGTGCGTGCATATAAACTCAGAGTTGCGCGATATAAACTCAGAGTTGCGTGCATATAAACTCAGAGTTGCGCGATATAAACTCAGAGTTGCGTGCATATAAACTCAGAGTTGCGCGATATAAACTCAGAGTTGCGTGCATATAAACTCAGAGTTGCGCGATATAAACTCAGAGTTGCGTGCATATAAACTCAGAGTTGCGCGATATAAACTCAGAGTTGCGTGATATAAACTCAGAATTGCGCGATATAAACTCAGAATAGCCTGATATAAACTCAGAATTGCGAGATATAAACTCAGAATTGCATGCATATAAACTCAGAGTTGCGCGATATAAACTCAGAATTGCGCGATATAAACTCAGAATAGCCTGATATAAACTCAGAATTGCGAGATATAAACTCAGAATTGCATGCATATAAACTCAGAGTTGCGCGATATAAACTCAGAATTGCGCGATATAAACTCAGAATAGCCTGATATAAACTCAGAATTGCGAGATATAAACTCAGAATTGCATGCATTAATTACTGCCTCAATTCGGCGTGGCATGGAGGTGATCAGTTTGTGGCACTGCTGAGGTGGTATGGAAGCCCAGGTTTCTTTGACAGTGGCCTTCAGCTCATCTGCATTTTTTGGTCTCTTGTTTCTCATTTTCCTCTTGACAATACCCCATAGATTCTCTATGGGGTTCAGGTCTGGTGAGTTTGCTGGCCAGTCAAGCACACCAACACCATGGTTATTTAACCAACCTTTGGTGCTTTTGGCAGTGTGGGCAGGTGCCAAATCCTGCTGGAAAATGAAATCAGCATCTTCAAAAAGATCTGTATGTGTGAACGTGTGTCATCTTGATCAGATCAGACGTGTTTGGGAGTGAATTCCCTCGCAGGAGGATGTTTAGTCTGAGACGCTCGCATTTCTGTAGCAGAGCCGATTTCAATCTCTCCAAAGCAAGTTATGGAAAACACACCCTCCGAGAGAGAAAACCCAGAGCACGAGTGTGTGTGTGTCAGGAGGTGTTGAAATGCATTGTAGGACGAGAGGAAGTGAGCTTGACTTCAGAGAGAGTATTTATCAGGCTCTGCTCTTCAGTCTTTGTGCCGGTTAGTTGTTATTTGTCTCCGGTTCCTGTCCAGGTTATCGTCTCATTAATCTCTCAGTGCTGCTGATGTTTAATGAGCCGTTTATTCTCACACGCTCAGATCTTTCTCGCTCGCTGCTTATCTGCTGCTGTTTAGGCCAGAAACATACTTACTCGACTCAAGTATGCAAACACAGATGAGTGTGTCCTGTCCCATACGTTACATGCACTTTAGACGCTCAGCTCAGTTTCATGTTTTTGTGAATGTGTTATAGGTCTGTAATGCATTGATAATTGATTGGTGAGGTATTGATGATGCTGATTGTGTCTCGACAGGGTCCAGAGTTACTGAGTAAATACGTGGGTGAATCAGAGCGAGCGCTTCGAGAGGTGAGAGACATCTGTATGACTTTCTTTCTTCCATGAAACTCAAAAGAAGAAAGTTTTATGAATTATACTTGTTGCTCTTTTCCTTTACAATGAGGATGTTTTTTCCAGCTCCAGTACAAGTTCAGCTCATGTCGATTTCCTCAGAAAATAACTTCCACTAGTCTTTTTTCTTAAAAAATACAAAATAAATAAAATAAAATAAATTAAATTAAATTGCAAAAATGTAAAACATGCAAAAAATGCAGGTTACTTTTACACCTTTGTAGGATTTAAAATCAGAAATGTGAAGCTTATAATTTTATAAATTAAATTAACTCTTCTTTCAAAGGTTATGTTTAATTTTGACTGTAAAGCTGTTTAAATCATAATTTTTACAGTTGTTTTAAGGTTTAAAATGCAGGTTATGGTTAGACACTTAAACTTGTGAGGATTTAAAATCAGAAATATGAAGCTTATAATTTTATAACATTGCTTTCATTCTTCTGTGCTATTCTTCTGTTTTTTGTTTAGTTTGTTTTTTGAGTGTTAAAGCTGTTTAAATCAATTTTTACATTAGTTTTAGACAGTGTTACAGTGAAGTAAAACTGCATAAAACTTTACACAGAAATCGTTAGTAAATAATTTTTTTCCACTAAAGTCATGTTAAAATGCATTATTGTTTATATCTTGTTGCTGTACTATTGAAACAGTGAGTATTTTGGCGTTTACGGATTACTCTTCCATTGTAAGTGTCTCACTGTAAGACAAGTGAAAAGTGGAAATTAATTTTCCAAAGTCATATGATGCTTTGTGTGAGAAACCAACTCAATTTGTTTGAAAAAGTCATACGAGTAAAATAACCCATTAAAGGGAGAGCGCACTCATTTTCTGTGTTTCTGAACCTTTCATAGAATGTGTGTGTGTGTGTGTGTGTGTGTGTGTGTGTAGGTTTTCCGGAAGGCCAGGACAGTTGCTCCGTCTATCGTTTTCTTTGACGAGATCGACGCTTTAGCAGCGGCACGAGGAAGGTAACGACAAAATCATGCATGAGTTTATTACTAAAGCACTGTCATACTGTCAACCAAATGACACGATATGATACATAAACAACACACATCAACCACATTATTATCTGATCATATGATCAGAATGAGTTCATTAGTGTTAAATGTGTGTCGTTTTGACATATAGGAGACCGTTAATGCTCTAAACACACACACACACACACACACACACAGAGGAACATCTGCGCTTTAGAGACACAAGCGTGTCTTTGTTTCCATGAAAACAGATGGAGAATTCTGCTGTACTTCCTGTTCTAGGAATCACACACTAAAATACAGTAGGAAACCATGTTGTAAACCAGAAATCAATGTAGCAAACTGCAGTCAAACAACCAGATAAACCACAGATCACTGAGTCTCATTCACTACGTGGATGATGAAATATGTTTAATTGTAGACTAAATTTCAGTAAAAAAATTAATCTGTTTGGTTTTTAGGCATTTGCTAGTGTGTTGCTATGTGGTTGCCAGTGTGGTGTTGTGTGGTTGCTGGGCAGTTGCTAGGGTGTTGCTATGTGGTTGCCAGTGTGGTGTTGTGTGGTTGCTGGGCAGGTGCTAGGGTGTTGCTATGTGGTTGCCAGTGGGTTGCTGTGTGGTTGCTAGGGTGTTGTTATGTGGTTGCTGGGCAGTTGCTATGTGGTTGCCAGTGTATTGAAAATGACCTGAGACTCGAACTCGCAACCTTTGGGTTACGAGTCCGACTCTCTAACCATTAGGCCAAGACTTCCCTCTTGTTGTGTGGTTGCTAGGGTGTTGCTATGTGGTTGCCAATGTGTTGCTAGGCAGTTTCTAGGGTGTTGCTATGTGGTTGCCAGTGTGTTGCTGGGCAGTTGCTAGGGTGTTGCTATGTGGTTGCCAGTATGGTTGCTGGGCAGTTGCTAGGGTGTTGCTATGTGGCTGCCAGTGTGTTGCTGTGTGGTTGCCAGTGTGTTGTTGTGTGGTTGCTAGTCAGTTGCTAGGGTGTTGCTATGTGGTTGCCAGTGTGTTGTTGTGTGGTTGCTAGGCAGTTGCTAGGGTGTTGCTATGTGGCTTCCAGTGTGTTGTTGTGTGGTTGCTAGGCAGTTGCTAGGGTGTTGCTATGTGGTTGCCAGTGTGTTGCTGTGTGGTTGCTAGGCAGTTGCTAGGGTTTTGCTATGTGGTTGCCATTGTGTTGCTGTGTGGTTGCTAGGCAGTTGCTAGGGTTTTGCTATGTGGTTGCCATTGTGTTGCTGTGTGGTTGCTAGGCAGTTGCTAGGGTGTTGCTATGTGGTTGCCAGTGTGTTGTTGTGTGGTTGCTAGGCAGTTGCTAGGGTGTTGCTATGTGGTTGCCAATGTGTTGCTATGTGGTTGCTAGGCAGTTTCTACGGTGTTGCTATGTGGTTGCAGTGTGTTTCTAGGCAGTTGCTAGGGTGTTGCTGTGTGGTTGCCAGTGTGTTGTTGTGCGGTTTCTAGGCAGTTGCTAGGGTGTTGCTGTGTGGCTGCCAGTGTGTTGCTGGGCAGTTGCTATGTGGTTGCCAGTGTGTTGTTGTGTGGTTGCTTGGGTGTTGCTATGTGGTTTCCAGTGTGTTGCTGTGTGCTTGCTAGGCAGTTTCTAGGGTTTTGCTATGTGGTTGCCAGTGTGTTGCTGTGTGGTTGCTGGGCAGTTGCTATGTGGTTGCCAGTGTGTTGTTGTGTGGTTGCTAGGCAGTTGCTAGGGTATTCAGGGCTCGCAAAATCGCTAGCCCGACGTCCTGGGGCTATTGTGTTTTCCATTCGGGCTACCAAAATGTATCACCGCCCTGCTCGTCTTGAACAGTGATATACAATTCCTTCCTTGATTTACATTGTTCACTAGCTTGTAGGGGTAAAACGGATCATAGTTGATTGTTTGCACGTGTTTCTAAGTCTTGCCGATTTAAACATTCAAGTGTTTTAAACCATTCACGTGCATTCGGAGCTGCACGTACTCATTCAAAGCAAGCACAGAGAGCCGTGTTTCAGACAATGCGATGGATCATGATTAAAATGCAGTGATTGCCTCTGATTTTAAATGGAAAAAGCACAGCCAAAGCCTTAGTTTGTTTATATGAAGATATCTATTTTATTTGTAATATTTAATTATTTGATTTGGGATTTGTTTAACAATTTCAAGTTCGTTTTATTATTTGACATATTTCAATTTCACAAAGAAATGTGCAGCATTTTGTTGGAGAAATAATAAAAGGACACCTTTTGCTATGTGGTTGCCAGTGTGTTGATGTGTGGTTGCCAGGCAGTTGCTAGGGTGTTGCTATGTGGTTGCCAGTGTGTTGATGTGTGGTTGCCAGGCAGTTGCTAGGGTGTTGCTATGTGGTTGCCAGTGTGTTGATGTGTGGTTGCCAGGCAGTTGCTAGGGTGTTGCTATGTGGTTGCCAGTGTGTTGATGTGTGGTTGCCAGGCAGTTGCTAGGGTGTTGCTATGTGGTTGCCAGTGTGTTGATGTGTGGTTGCCAGGCAGTTGCTAGGGTGTTGCTATGTGGTTGCCAGTGTGTTGATGTGTGGTTGCCAGGCAGTTGCTAGGGTGTTGCTATGTGGTTGCCAGTGTGTTGATGTGTGGTTGCCAGGCAGTTGCTAGGGTGTTGCTATGTGGTTGCCAGTGTGTTGATGTGTGGTTGCCAGGCAGTTGCTAGGGTGTTGCTATGTGGTTGCCAGTGTGTTGATGTGTGGTTGCCAGGCAGTTGCTAGGGTGTTGCTATGTGGTTGCCAGTGTGTTGATGTGTGGTTGCCAGGCAGTTGCTAGGGTGTTGCTATGTGGTTGCCAGTGTGTTGATGTGTGGTTGCCAGGCAGTTGCTAGGGTGTTGCTATGTGGTTGCCAGTGTGTTGATGTGTGGTTGCCAGGCAGTTGCTAGGGTGTTGCTATGTGGTTGCCAGTGTGTTGATGTGTGGTTGCCAGGCAGTTGCTAGGGTGTTGCTATGTGGTTGCCAGTGTGTTGATGTGTGGTTGCCAGGCAGTTGCTAGGGTGTTGCTATGTGGTTGCCAGTGTGTTGATGTGTGGTTGCCAGGCAGTTGCTAGGGTGTTGCTATGTGGTTGCCAGTGTGTTGATGTGTGGTTGCCAGGCAGTTGCTAGGGTGTTGCTATGTGGTTGCCAGTGTGTTGATGTGTGGTTGCCAGGCAGTTGCTAGGGTGTTGCTATGTGGTTGCCAGTGTGTTGATGTGTGGTTGCCAGGCAGTTGCTAGGGTGTTGCTATGTGGTTGCCAGTGTGTTGATGTGTGGTTGCCAGGCAGTTGCTAGGGTGTTGCTATGTGGTTGCCAGTGTGTTGATGTGTGGTTGCCAGGCAGTTGCTAGGGTGTTGCTATGTGGTTGCCAGTGTGTTGATGTGTGGTTGCCAGGCAGTTGCTAGGGTGTTGCTATGTGGTTGCCAGTGTGTTGATGTGTGGTTGCCAGGCAGTTGCTAGGGTGTTGCTATGTGGTTGCCAGTGTGTTGATGTGTGGTTGCCAGGCAGTTGCTAGGGTGTTGCTATGTGGTTGCCAGTGTGTTGATGTGTGGTTGCCAGGCAGTTGCTAGGGTGTTGCTATGTGGTTGCCAGTGTGTTGATGTGTGGTTGCCAGGCAGTTGCTAGGGTGTTGCTATGTGGTTGCCAGTGTGTTGATGTGTGGTTGCCAGGCAGTTGCTAGGGTGTTGCTATGTGGTTGCCAGTGTGTTGATGTGTGGTTGCCAGGCAGTTGCTAGGGTGTTGCTATGTGGTTGCCAGTGTGTTGATGTGTGGTTGCCAGGCAGTTGCTAGGGTGTTGCTATGTGGTTGCCAGTGTGTTGATGTGTGGTTGCCAGGCAGTTGCTAGGGTGTTGCTATGTGGTTGCCAGTGTGTTGATGTGTGGTTGCCAGGCAGTTGCTAGGGTGTTGCTATGTGGTTGCCAGTGTGTTGATGTGTGGTTGCCAGGCAGTTGCTAGGGTGTTGCTATGTGGTTGCCAGTGTGTTGATGTGTGGTTGCCAGGCAGTTGCTAGGGTGTTGCTATGTGGTTGCCAGTGTGTTGATGTGTGGTTGCCAGGCAGTTGCTAGGGTGTTGCTATGTGGTTGCCAGTGTGTTGATGTGTGGTTGCCAGGCAGTTGCTAGGGTGTTGCTATGTGGTTGCCAGTGTGTTGATGTGTGGTTGCCAGGCAGTTGCTAGGGTGTTGCTATGTGGTTGCCAGTGTGTTGATGTGTGGTTGCCAGGCAGTTGCTAGGGTGTTGCTATGTGGTTGCCAGTGTGTTGATGTGTGGTTGCCAGGCAGTTGCTAGGGTGTTGCTATGTGGTTGCCAGTGTGTTGATGTGTGGTTGCCAGGCAGTTGCTAGGGTGTTGCTATGTGGTTGCCAGTGTGTTGATGTGTGGTTGCCAGGCAGTTGCTAGGGTGTTGCTATGTGGTTGCCAGTGTGTTGATGTGTGGTTGCCAGGCAGTTGCTAGGGTGTTGCTATGTGGTTGCCAGTGTGTTGATGTGTGGTTGCCAGGCAGTTGCTAGGGTGTTGCTATGTGGTTGCCAGTGTGTTGATGTGTGGTTGCCAGGCAGTTGCTAGGGTGTTGCTATGTGGTTGCCAGTGTGTTGATGTGTGGTTGCCAGGCAGTTGCTAGGGTGTTGCTATGTGGTTGCCAGTGTGTTGATGTGTGGTTGCCAGGCAGTTGCTAGGGTGTTGCTATGTGGTTGCCAGTGTGTTGATGTGTGGTTGCCAGGCAGTTGCTAGGGTGTTGCTATGTGGTTGCCAGTGTGTTGATGTGTGGTTGCCAGGCAGTTGCTAGGGTGTTGCTATGTGGTTGCCAGTGTGTTGATGTGTGGTTGCCAGGCAGTTGCTAGGGTGTTGCTATGTGGTTGCCAGTGTGTTGATGTGTGGTTGCCAGGCAGTTGCTAGGGTGTTGCTATGTGGTTGCCAGTGTGTTGATGTGTGGTTGCCAGGCAGTTGCTAGGGTGTTGCTATGTGGTTGCCAGTGTGTTGATGTGTGGTTGCCAGGCAGTTGCTAGGGTGTTGCTATGTGGTTGCCAGTGTGTTGATGTGTGGTTGCCAGGCAGTTGCTAGGGTGTTGCTATGTGGTTGCCAGTGTGTTGATTTGTGGTTGCTGGGCAGCTGCTAGGGTGTTGCTATGTGGTTGCTAGGGTGTTACTGTGTAGTTACTAGGCAGTTGTTGTTTTAAATATATGGTAAAAAGTTTAATGAATGTGTAATATGCAGCGTTAGTAAATGAGACTCATTGTCTGTATCAAGCCGCAGCTGATGTGACGGGATTCTCAACCTTTCTTAACACTGCTGAATGTGCTGATGTCTAGTGTTTGAGCTCCAGCACGGCTGTCTGTGTAAATATGAAACACTGAGTTGTAAAATATGTTTTTATTTGTTTGGCTCTTTGCTTGTTTAATTAATAAAGTGCCTAGTGTATCAAGCTTCTGACAAGAATCACACACACACACACACACACACACTTAAGTGTGAATCTAAAGCTGGTTTGTTCTGCTGAGTCACAAATTAATTTACTGGATTGAGTTCTGAATGACACATTGATTTACTGATGAATGTGTTTACCTTTAATCAATCACGAACACACACACACACACACACACACACACATTGATCTGTCTACAGAATCAGTTAATCTGAAACCTTATTCAGCAAAACCCAACAGAGCTACTGCAGAATCCAAACACACCAGCAGCTGCCTAGCAACACCCTAGCAACCACCCCAGAACACATTAGGAACCAGGGCTTAAAACGAAAAATAAAATTTCAATCGGTTCACTCCGAGCAGAATCAGTATTTTAATGTTTCTGTTCATGCGTTCCTTCTGTATTATTACTGTTCCGAAACCGGTGTGAGTAGACAAAGTACCGGTTAATAACGTTATTTATTTTTTACTTTTTTTTTTCCCAATAATAATAAGTACAATGTTTTCTTTACTCCAAAAAAATATCTTTAAAGACTGGTATCATGCATTGTCATAGCCAATACAGCATCATCGTTTATAACAAGATTTTGGCCAAATGTATTAAACGAAAGGAAAAATTGTCAACGCATTAAAGAATTTTTTCAAGATATTTAAAAATGTTTGCTGCATGGTTAAAAAAAATTCGCTGATTGTATAAAATTGTGTTTTGAGAGGAAAAAAGATAAGTCGCGTAGACTATACGTCGCATTTTATTATTACATTCAGAAATAAAGTAGGCTAAAATACCGGTAAATAAAGCAAAATGTTTGCAAACATTATAAACACAGCTAGGCTAATTTAGTTCCCTTCTCTCCACAACAAATCCTCTAAAGTTAACAGTATTAGGCTATATAAACAAGCCATTTATCACACACGCACACACACACACACACACACACACACACACACACACATTGATCTGTCTACAGAATCAGTTAATCTGAAACCTTATTCAGCAAAACCCAACAGAGCTACTGCAGAATCCAAACACACCAGCAGCTGCCTAGCAACACCCTAGCAACCACCCCAGAACACATTAGGAACCAGGGCTTAAAACGAAAAATAAAATTTCAATCGGTTCACTCCGAGCAGAATCAGTATTTTAACGTTTCTGTTCATGCGTTCCTTCTGTATTATTACTGTTCCGAAACCGGTGTGAGTAGACAAAGTACCGGTTAATAACGTTATTTATTTTTTACTTTTTTTTTTCCCAATAATAATAAGTACAATGTTTTCTTTACTCCAAAAAAATATCTTTAAAGACTGGTATCATGCATTGTCATAGCCAATACAGCATCATCGTTTATAACAAGATTTTGGCCAAATGTATTAAACGAAAGGAAAAATTGTCAACGCATTAAAGAATTTTTTCAAGATATTTAAAAATGTTTGCTGCATGGTTAAAAAAAATTCGCTGATTGTATAAAATTGTGTTTTGAGAGGAAAAAAGATAAGTCGCGTAGACTATACGTCGCATTTTATTATTACATTCAGAAATAAAGTAGGCTAAAATACCGGTAAATAAAGCAAAATGTTTGCAAACATTATAAACACAGCTAGGCTAATTTAGTTCCCTTCTCTCCACAACAAATCCTCTAAAGTTAACAGTATTAGGCTATATAAACAAGCCAAAGCGAAATAATTTAAAGCGAAACTGAAGCCTACCTCTCTCACTCGGCACGAATCTTAATTTTTCCATATTCGCGATGTATCTGGATGCTAACCTATTATTTATTATGTAAACTATAGGCTTTGTACTTCACTCGCATTATCGACGTAAATCATCATCCTTCACATAACGCTTAATGGCACAGATTGTAGTACGGACTATTTAAATTGAGCAGTGTAACTTTTTATATGTTTCTTTATCTGTATTTTATTTTGATAATTACCAGGCTGCGATTTCAAGTTATCAAACATATGTTGTGTGTGATGACTTGACAGCTGAGCGCGAGCGTTTCATTCGTTGTATGCGTCAGCATTACATTTGCATAGGCCGTACTATTTGAATTCGTGATTGGTTGATTGCAAAATTAAAATACTAAAGTACTTTTCGCTCCTTGAAGTGGTTCAGAGCCCTGTTAGGAACTGTCTGTTAACACCATAGCAACCATCCAGAACACCATAGCAACTGCTCAGCAACACTCTAGCAGCTACATATCAACGCCTTAGCAACCATCCAAAACACCCTAGCAACATGCCGTAGCAACTTTTGCTAGGGACAGTATCTGTGCCTGTCTTGGGTTTCTAATGTGCTGATTGAAGGGTTTGTGTCGTTCAGTTCTGGTCACGCGGGAGGCGTCGCTGATCGAGTGTTAGCTCAGCTGCTGACAGAGATGGATGGAATCGAACAGCTAAAAGACGTCACGGTTCTTGCTGCAACCAACCGACCTGATATGATT